TATCCCCTAAGTGTGACCAGGGGCCTTTTTCTCGAAAGTCCCGATAATTAACGAGCCCGGAAAGGTTTTGTTGTTTACATTTAAGATCTAGGTTTCAATTGTTTGCAGATAATATGATAAAACTATTTGCTAACAAAGCAAGATGATTGGGCAGGCTTGATAGCTGGACCCGTGCAAAGTCGGGTGGCCCATTTATATTTCTTTGTGTACATGTATATCTCTTGATGTCCTGACGTCATCCAGTGTGACGTCACGGATCATTTTATTTTTCCGGGCAACAGCAGAAGGCATTGAACCAGTTTCCGAGCGAAGTGATATATTTCGACGGCAGAAGTATTTTACAGAGAGAACATTGAAGCAATATGGACCTGTAGCTTCAAAATAATAATGCAAATTGAGATAAAAGAACATTTGTCAGTGCGTCTCACTTCGCAGACGACTGAGTTCACGGCCTTTGTCGCGGGATATGTTTTTTTTTGTCGGAAGTACGTTTCATTTCGGCTTTATTATAACCCTCAAAACCTTACTTTTCCCTCGGAAGTCTACCTTGGAATGTACGTAAAACCGAGGCAAACCCACAATTAATTGGCTCTTTGTCCGCCTATGGAACAAATCCGCCGAACATCGATCGGCCGTTGATCCCAAGCCAGTGAAATTTGTATGCGAACTTGCCTTTTTTCCATCCGGCGACCAAAATAATGCAAAATGTGCAAACAAGCAAAAAAAAAAAAAGAAAAAAAATACAAAAGAGAAAAATTAGTAGTCCTCATGAAAGGATATTCGCGGCTGGTCACCGAATCAGTTTCTTTCCGCCAGGGCTTAACTTACTGACACACTGAGTTTCGCGACGGTTTGCAAGACTGCTCTGTCGACCACATGTTCTTCAAATGCGATGTCAATAAGTTAAAGGACGGCTTTTACGGTAAAAACCCTGCTTATTTCCCTCAAATATATCTTTGAATTCATTATACATGCAGCTCGACCAGCTTCAAACTATATGTATCGGCCAGATTTTCGGGGAAAAATGCTTTAAATCTAATAATTTTGCCCCTGCAATGCTTTCTTCGGTGTCTATTTTTTGACCATACCCGAAAGAAACTTTGGGCAGGTAATTTAAACGGAGTTTAGACAGAATTTAACAAAACTGCGTTCTAAGACAATTTCATATTGCCCAATGTTTTCATCTAAACACCATTTATCGCGAACAATTTCGTGAAAGCATATAGGCACTTATCTTCCAAAAAAAAATCACTAAGAAAGAGATCTGGGGGTCCAAAGATTTCGTAAACTGCGGCATAAGTACCCTGGGTACCAGAGGTTTTTGCTCGCGTGCGACGGGGAGCTTCGTTTTGTCGGCCTAAGGCCGAAGTCACGAGCGGCGAAGCCACGAGAAAAAACTTTTCGCGCGGGTCACTTTTTAAGACTTGACCGAAACCGGAAACCGCGCATGAAAATCCTCTGGCACCCAGGGTACGGCATAAGATAGATTTCGTTCAAATAACCGACCCTTTGAGTTTAGTCTCTCGCCCACGTAGTCGTCCGCGTCCTCCAATTCAAAGGCCTCTTTTGCTTTAGCCTGAGAGCAGGGTCCTTGTTATAACGAGGGAATGGGAAGGGTGTTGTTTCCGTCAATAAACTCCAAGCCCTATGATTTAAACTGGAATCTTTGGACTTGAACGTAGACTACGGGTAGTCCCCCATTTTCCCTCAGGGATAATAGAGCGAGCGAAACGCAAGCGCGCGTGAAAATCACCCTACGCGAGAAAAGGCGACACGCGGTGGGGAGAGACTCTCTCCCCGCCATGAGCTCAGGATATGAGCGCTATATAAATAGAGTTATCATTATTATTATGTGTTTCGCTCGCTCTACTATCCCTGAGGAAAAATGGGGGACTACTCGTAGTCTAACTTGAACGCGATGATGTCATTATTCCGCCTTTTCACAATTAGCGTAACAGCTTAGGCCCGTTTCAAACGTCGTGCTACTGCCGTGCCGAACTAAATTGATCGAGTTAAATTCGACTTAAGCACGGCAGTAGCGTGACGTTTGAAACCAAGTCGTGCTACTGTCGTGTAGCACGGCAAGCTTTGCCGTGCCACACGCCAGTAGCTCGATTTGGTTTCAAACGTCACACTACTGCCGTGCCGAACTCAATTCATAAATTATGAATACATTAGAATATATGAAAAGTTTGCTAAATCGTTTCTTTATTTTTGTGTGTTGTTTTCAGCAACAGCCGTTCTATTCGACTGAATTAAATTCGACGTCTGAAACCAAGTCGTGCTAGTGTCATTCTGCAGTCGAGCTACAGTCGAGCCAGCTTAGCACGGCAATAGCACGACGTTTGAAATAGGCGTTAGCGACGATTCTGTTAATGACACTTTTGGAATTTTTATCAGTCGAGACCATGGTTTCGGTTCTCCATGTGAATCTCCTATGTTGCCGGATTGCCTTTGTGCTCAGTTTTTAGCTAAACAACGTTATTTTTAACTTGTTTTTTATTTGTGGGTAGAGCGGTATACCGACGTTTTCGGTAAATATCCAACACTTTTTATTATCACTAGACCGCGAAAGCTCTTTCTTTTCTATTATGCCGTCGACCGAAATTAATGCGCGAGATATGAAAATAGCCACGCGCGCGAGTGGCGCGACTGAAGGCGCGTGTCGCGGGTGCACCACTCAATTAACAAGAAAATGAGAGACTGCTCACAGGCTATATAGCATCACCAAGGTGAAAAATTGCTTAAGTATAAACGCACAAGCGAATAATCAGCTGATCGGAATATTTACTTTATTTTCTGATAATTACATAGAATTTAAATTTAACAAATTCCATGCGTAGGGTCTTTGAACGCACGAAGCACAGTTGCTGGGATATGAAAAGTAGTGGTTGTCTGCCGTTTGCAAAACGTTTCAGGAAAATCCGGTTAAATACTAAATGTTACACGATGTTTTGGGTCGTTGCACTATAAATTTTTGAATCAAACCGGAACTTCTGAAAAGTTAGTTCCTTTTTCCCGCTCGGAATGTTCGAAACGGAAATTCGTGTTTCATTTCTTCAAACTCATCTTTGATATGAGTTTCGCGGCCCTTTTCGGTAAATGGAACTGATTTGTGCAAATGCATGGTAAACGCCCGCCTTCCTCGAACGGAATTTTCTAGTGCTGAGTTTTGTTTACCACTTACCCAAAACGCTAACCCTTTAGCCACTAGTTTGGAACCTCGATACATCGAACCTCAATATTACGAAGTCCTCGGTACAACAAACGATTTTCTTTACCTCAGTGACAGTAAATCATACGGGAAGGTGCTTGATAAAACGGAACCTCGTTATAGCGAACAAATTTTGCCAGTCCTTTGACCCTTCGTTTTATCGAGGTTTCATTGTGGGTAGTACATGTAAACATCTATCTCCTCTTTAGCGGGTTATAATTAGGCTATCACAGAGCGCGTATTTCTAAACCAAGATATTGCGGCTGGCGGAATTTTCGCTTGCGGCTTAAGTTCCTCGCTCGCACCGCGTTTGTACCGCGGAAAATTTGTTGCCGCCCGCAATATGCTTTGCTGACATAAGCGGCATGACGTTGTTGCCAAGAACCTAGTTAAAACTCTACAAAATATAGTTTTGCAGCTGACCATTTTTTAGCCCCTTAAGTGCCAAATAGCTTGTAAGCTCCCCCACTTGTGTGGCCCCATGTTAGGCCTATCTGCCTGAAAACAAAAAAATATATGCGCCCCCGCCTGAGACTGTATTGAAATGAATCCGATGTATCATGACGTTTTGATGCTCTTTTTTAAACCAGTGAGTGCAATCAGCAATGCTATGGTTTATTTCGAAGTGCTTTTTCTATTACGTTATAACCCTCCTCGGACGTAAGCCTCTCCGCAGTATAAGCGCTCTTAAAAGCCGTAAGAATAAGGGAGAATTCAATAAGCCCAGGGAAAAAAGCGGCTGTTCACGGTAGTCAACTGCTGTTGAATAGCTTTCACAGTTGAAGAGCTCAGGATAGATTGAACTTAATTTTGATCTCTTTATTCGACTGTAGAGGAAATAATTTTAACCAGGGCTGCCAAATAAAAAGAGCATTGAAAAATAATAAGCAGTACCACGGAAGGAAGTCGTTTGTCATTGCTCATCGCTTTGCAGTCAATATTTCATTTTCAGTTTTGGATGATAATGATTTAATAAGCACTTGCGTCTCTCAATATCTTTCAAAACAGTTCATTCTCAGCCGATTTTGCCAGTTGCAGTAAATGCTCCTGTGTATGGGGTAAAAGCTTCAGTCTGTTATTCAAACCGATGTTTTATATCGTTGCATGCAATATTGACGATCAATTTTTGGGTAACACATTCAGTCTCTCATTTAAAGTCTTCTTTGTTTTTTGGTCACTTGGTAACTCTACTTAGGACGGTTACAAATTATAGAGTGTTCGTTGAAATTGCCCCTAGGCGGTCACTTAAATGAAAATTAACACTCTAAACCGGCGGTTTTCGTTATAGGGTCATCGCTTAGTCCTATAAGTAATCCTTGCAAAACACGCGCGAAGCATGCTCTGTAGTGTGGTATATATCTACAGGGAATATTCTGGAGACAGAAATCCTAAAGGCTAGAATATAATTGACCGGAATTATAAGCATGATCGGGTATTGCTGTTTCTCTGGTACCGTTATCGCGCGACTTTTAAGTGCTCGGTGAATTCTTAATGGCATAAACATCCTCTTAATTATGTGATCCCACATAATCTAATCCTCTTCCCTTAGTCTATAACGATCTTTTTAATCACATTTACTGGTGCTTTCTCTGTTTCAAATTAAGCTGTATTTTAGTGTTTTTCCGCATTCAAATCAAATCAGTAAGTTTCAACGCGTGGCTCGCGCGACCCTTTTTAAAATGCGTGATATTTGATTGGCTATCAATGAATGTTTACAGACCCTTTATTTAAATTTAGCTGCTCTGATAAACGTTACCGAGTTTTGCAATTCAAATTAGATTAATGTCAACACGTTAGTTCGTTGTCTTACTGCTAATCACAAAATAACGGCCACTTTAACGAAGGATAAAGATTCGCTGCGATTGTACTTGAAAATTTTTCCGCCTTGAAAAAATCTTATATCTCGAAACTGGAACTGATATTCTTGTGGGAATGAGATCAGGATGATTTCTTGTTCTGCGGAAATAGAGAGGTAATTTTATTAGATTTTTAAAAAGTGTTCTATGATGGAATTGGTGAGCTCATACAATATTAAATTTTGAAAATATTTTGCTGTCATTTAAGGAAACGGCAATCCATATCTATCTTCTTGTACATCAACAACTCTCTGGTAAAGTTGGTTCTCCATTCGTTAAAAATTTTTTGTAAGACACATCAAATTTGTACTTTTAAAATTACTTATGCGAAAGCATTTTTAAACTTAAGGGGTAACAAGTTGAACTTACTGATAACTAATATTGTTTTTGTTTTTCACAGATGTGGAGTCAAAGCTTGCTAATCTTAATATTTACACCTTGTTCAAAAAGCTCGTAACCATCGAAAGCGGAATTATACGTTCTACATAATTGTCTTTGTTTTCAACAGGTGAGTTGAATTAAGCAGCAGGGGCCGCAAATCGAATGTTAACGATTTTAAATATCGCGGTTGTATGCGTTTTAACCCCCTCCTTCTCTATTAAAGTTGTCAAGCTGACGAGACAAATATAATTAGTAATGACTCTACACAGTTCGGCGATGATTTTTATTTCTTTTAAACTAAAAAGAATCGGTTTTATCGGTATTGCTTGAAACAATTATTGGATTTGAACTAATTAATCTGTCTGGCACTTTAATTTTATATTTTTGGTTTTCGAATATATTAAAGTGCGAACGGGCTATTGACTGGTACACTCGAAGGTAATGTTCATTTTTTTAATGGATAATTACAATACCACGGGTTGTTGGATAATCCAAAACCAACTTCAGTCATAAAAAAGTAGTAGAAATGGCAAAAATGGATACAACACTTTAAAAGGGTGAGCGAGTCAAAATCGTTGTAGAAAAGAACTTAACTTACAGAATAATTAACTTGTTGACTCCTTGAAGTTTTAGCAGAAAAACTTATTTTCAAGACTTTTGGGGCACGTTTTCCGGTAGTGTAGCGCGTTTGTAACCGCTATCTTGACAAACATATGAAAACTAACATGGAAAAATATGGATGTAGAGTGCGATTTTCCCTGTTTTTACTCAGGGGTAGTAGAGCGAGACAACACGCGAGGGCGCGTGAAAATTGTCAACACGAGGAGAGGCGACACGCGGAGGGAAAAGAAATCCTTCCGGATGGCGATTTCAGGTTCGCTGGCGTATTTTTCTTGCTCTGTGAAAGGTTTGAACCCAGGAATACTTTCATAAGCAGGTTGAGTATAATCGTCCGGGTGTACGTAGTCCTGAGTACGACTGTTGTTGACCGGAGTGACTGACGTCTCGACAACCTGTGCGGTAGTCATCTTCAGGGTTAAAGTGAGTTGTATCACGTCAGTCAGAGTTTATTAAACTCTGTTTATTGATCTGATTGGTATATTAACTAGCGATGTAACCTCCTCTGCTTCTTTGGCTCGAGGGGAATAAAAATAACGCCTGATACATTCATTTAACAAGCCATCAACCGCCCCGTAATTTACATAATCTAACGTCTGCTTGACCTGTCGTGTTATTAGCCAATCAGCGTTTACCATACGAGAATCAAATTTTGGCGGGAATAATGTCTCTTTCCAAATCAATTTTGAGGAAAACAAAATCGGCCATGAAGACTCGTAAGGTCATTTCTTGTTTGGTATCCCTGAAGGCAGAGCTGAAGGCAGTCAGTCTACGGTGGGCTCCTGGTCTACGCTAGATCCTCAGTACTCCAACATCGCTCAATCTCAGCAATAGGGAGCTTAAACAAAGGCGTTTTTCACCGTACGTCAACCGGAAGTGAGAACTTTTTCATATATAAAATGAATTGACAATGCCAAATTTATATTTCTTAGTCTCTTTCTTATCATAGTACGATTTGTCCAGAAATTTGGGCGAAAATGCCGCTCAAGAATGAAAAAAGTCCATTGCCAGTTGAGGTGCGTCGCTCAAAAACACCTTTCCTTAAGGTTATCATTAGATCCCACCGACCGTAGCCCCTTCGGATACCTCATGAAATTTACATAACGTGGGTTAAGCATTGCTTCTACTGATTAGGGTTAAGCAAGGTTAAGCACTGTTTCGTAACTGGTTATAGGTTCTTTTTTGGGTTGGGGTTGATGCTCTATGTACTTAAATTATTTCCCCACCATCCATCAGATCCGCGGTGGTCTAGTGGTTAGCGTGATATACTGGGCTTTCTGGGTCGTGGGATCAAATCTTACTGCTCTTCATATCAATTTTTTTTTTCCAAATTGAAGAGACTTCCACTCTCATGAACATTTCCAGCTTGAAATATCATCTCTAAGTGGGATATAAAAGCAGAAAACAGTTCTAAGGGAAGAAAGGGGCTACGGCCGATGGGATCTAATGCTCACCTTTAAATTTGCTTAAGTTTTGTATTCTCAGCGACCTGAGGCAGGTGCTGGTCATTAGTTCTCTCTATAAGCACGATCACTTTGGGATCGGCCCTACGTGTACATCATAGTGAAGTGTCCTCCTGATAGAAAGCCAAAGAAAGGGGCTGAAGCTACGTTTACACTATACCGTATAGTATGAACAGCAAGAGAACAAAACTGAAACAAGTCCTTCACACACATCGAACATCGCACCGGAGCGGTTGGCCGAGAGGGTTTGTGAACTAAATCCCAGTCCTCTCTCCTGAATATTTACTTCCGTCTCAGTGGATTCCAGTTCTCGCTTTTATTTATTCACTTCCGGTACGGTCCGAATACCCGGTCACACTGCACCATGTGACGCTCCACTTTCCAAATCGCGCCGAAATCCCCGTTCTTATGTGTGAACAGAAGTCCTATCCGGGTGTGGTTTTCGCGCCTGCGCAAAAGCTATCTGGTATAGTGTGAACAAATCCTAAGGAACGGCAAGGAACTTATCTAGGTGTACTCTTAGGGAGATACCGTAAAATTCCGAGAATAAGCCCCTCCATGTATAACCCCCTCCAAATATAAGCCCTCCAATCCGGTAACGCAAAAAACCCTCCGTTAAATCGCCTCTCCAAATATAAGCCCCACGGGGGATTGTACTTGGAAAGTTGCCCTCAAAAACACAGTAAAACAAAGCAAAAACGGTAAATTTACTTCCAACTATGAGCCTAGCCCAATAGATTTTGAGACGCAAATTTCCCTCCGTAGATAAGCCCCTCCGAATATAAGCCCCTCCAAAAATAAGCCCCTCAAAAAGGGCCTTTGAAAAATATAAGCCTCGGGGCTTATTTTCGGAATTTTACGGTATACTTTAAGAGACAGTTTACCAGATACTGTCCCCATGTTTTTGTTGTTATTCTACCGTCAACTCTCTCTAAGACGGACAACTTTAGGACCGGCAATAAGTGTCCGTCTTAGAGCGATGTCCGTCTTATAGAGATGTCAGTCAAATAAAGGGAGGAAAGAAAGGTAGGGACCAACTCTAGGTGTCCGGTGTACCATGATGTCCGTCTTATACAGGTGTCCGGTAAGAGAGACTGAGTAGTCTCTATCAGACGCGGATCTAGGATAAATACTGACCGATTTCCTAAACGAGGGGCCGAGGGAGCAAGCTTCTAGGGAAGCCCGGGGGCATGCAAAAGTTCCCTTTCCTCGGTTTCTGTCTAATGCCCGGAAACTGGAAAAAGAAAACATTTGTACCTGTAGACCATTTTTTGGATTTCAACTTGGAAAGTTCTACTATTATTATTAAAAATATGTTTCTCAGGAAAAATCTGACCGATTTCCGTAAAACGGTGGAAACCGGTGTGGATCCGAGCTTGTCTATACACAAATCAGAAGCCGAGGAAATGCATTTTCGTGCATTTTCTTTCAGTTTACTCCTCGCACGAACCTTAAGGGGAAAAATTGGTCTTTTACCTCACTCACCCCTTAATTTTCAAAACTTACGATAAAGCAATTGAGAAGAAAAGGATTTAAACATTTAGTAAATTTATTTCCGATCAACTGCTAGAAGAAATAAGAAATGTATGTTCACTTTAGCCGCGACTCAGGCGAAAGGTTCCGCGTTTCTTCAATTTTGTAATTTTCGAGGTTCATTGTGTTTGATGTGCCCTCAAGGGACGGAAGACACCATGTCTTAAATGTTACACTTCATTAAGATTTCCATGCGGAATTTGCCCAGCATTAGATAAATCTTCGCGGATCTTTCAGTGACAAGAGATGCAGTTAGCGAGTTCGTATCGTCCAGTGCAGGATTTGATCCATAGTGGTTTGAATTTAAGTTCTTTAAAGAAACTATGACCCAGGTAAGTCAGGTAAGATCCGCGCGCTTTGACCCTTCTCTGACCCCAGTGCTTTCTCGTTTGCTTTAAACACACGAAAAGTTTGGTGTTTACATTGCTCTTGTTACGCTAGTTGGAGAAGCAACTGTTGGCAGGTTCCGCTTAGTACTGGAAATCTGCCCACTACATGCAACGTATTCTGCATGCTAGTGATCCTTTTTTGTCATCGTTCCTGCGCCGCTTTTCAAATATTCCCACGTCCTTGCTGACGTTTGTTGAATTCCGGTTGGGTTTAGAATACTTTTTGAAATTCTTAGTTCCACTCTTGAAGTGATTTCTACTTCGAACCAGGGTGGGGTGGGGTGGCCTCGACAGAGTGACTTTGCGCTTTTGTGGCAATTAACACCTGCAGAGGCCTATTTTGGGCTACTGACACATGTGACGTTTTTTTAGTTTTGATAAAGATGGCTGTCAGTCATCGAAACTGTCAGGAAAAATTAGGATTTTTCTATCGGGCTATACTGTAAGAACATTTGAATAGATCTTGCTTCGTTCCACTTTTTAACTAAGGCCACTCACCAGGTCGCTCTTATTTATTTGAAAGAGCGTAGTTACAGCTCACTGACTACCGCACAGGTTATGGACTTCTGAGTTCAGACTATTCACTGTGAGCACAGGTAGCCTAAGCTCGAAATATGAGCATCGGCGAGCATCGGCATTGTTGCGTAACATTCGAAATATTAGGATTTGTGTGGGGGAAAAAACCTATCGTTTCTGTAACCTACGAGCATGAAAGGATTTTAATAAAAAAAACGCTTACTTTACATAAAATGTGTGTTACGGTCACAGAAACGGTAGGTTTTTCCCCATACAAATCCTTATATTTGGAATGTTACGCAACGATGCCAGTGCTCGCCGATGCTCATATCTCGAGCTTGGGCTACCTGTGCTATGATTTTGCTACTTAATATTTGAAATACTATAGTTACAATTCACTTTGACTCTCAGTGTAGATGACTACCCCACAGGTTGTCGAAACGTCAGTCACTATCAACAGGACTACGTTCACCGGGACTACCATATTCCTCTTACTTATTAATGACATGACTCCTGGGCTTAAACCATTTTTTTGTGAGTGTAGTTACAATCGCAGACCTAATAACGAACTGTTCCGCGGCGTGATATAAAGAAGAGCCAAGGTGGGGTCTGAAACAATGTATCGTTATAAAGGGGCCTTGTTAGATCGGTTCCATGCGCGTTCTTGTTCTTAGAGGGAGACATTGGGGGGGTACCCAATACCGCAATACCGCAAGAAAAATTGGCAAATACCGAAATATCGTGTGGAAAATCGACGAAATACCGATACCGCATTTATGATCGGTCATGCTTATAAGACTTATAAAACTTCAGCCATTGCGAGAAAACGTAAAATCACAAATTTATCATTGCAACGATCGAAAAGCCTGGTCATTGTATGCAGCAACAATTTCATTGTGCATTAACTATCATTTATTAAAGGAGCTGAGTCACGAGATTCAGCCTAATTAGGTAATTACAAAATGCCCGTTAAATTAAGAGAAACGTAAAAAAAACCCCGCTTAAATCATTAAGGGAAGGTTAAAATAAAACAACAGATACAACAGATGCCACGGATGGGCAAAACTGAAGAAGATTGAAACGGATTGAAATTAGGGTTTTTGAAAACTGTTCAGCCTAACAGTTTTTCAGAGTTGATCTCTGCTGTTTGCAACTTCAAAAATACTGCTTAGGAGACATACTTGTTTGTCTCGAATCTCTGATTTTGTCATTTACATGTAAATTTCTTTGCTTACTTTAAGTTCCATAGCGACTGAGGGCGAGTAACTGGCAAAATTAAACAAAATTATCTGGACTCCCGTGACACAGCCCCTTTAACCCGTATAGCTTACATTGTTTTGCGCTGCGTATTGTATTGACATGTTTTAGACAGGTGAGTGCATATGAACGGTACCGCAATACCGTGAAAGAGATCTTTTACCGAACACCGTCATCCAAAAGGATGAAAAACCGCATACCTCAGGGCTAGATGATATCGCAAGACCGCACATTAAAATCAAAATTACCGAAATACCGCTTGAAAAAAATCTCAATACCGCAATACCGTAAACTCCAATGTCCCCCCTCTTCTTATACCGGAGGCGGAAAATGTTGTACCGAGGTTTCCCTTCAAAATACTGTAACAGTAATTACGCGCGACTAAGAACCTGTTAAGCTAAAATTTGCTAGTTAGGCCCCCTACATAGAACAACCAATTTAGCCTAAAATTTGAATCAGGTTTTTATTTTCTTAAATCTTTAAAAAAAGTCTGTACACTTGGGCACATAAGATAAGTCAACATAATTCGGGATCCTCTATGGAGACATCCGTCTTATCTCTCCAACTGCAATACAGTGGTATGCAGATGATACATGATGTGATGTATTTTTTTGCTTCCGAAAATAAGAACGTATTTATGATCCTAAATAGCCTAAATTTGTGCTAATTTTCATTTATATAAGAACCGGTTTACGCTAACTTAGAAATTGCAGGTTCTTAGTCGCAGGTTTTCACTGTACCCGTACATTTTTGTACAAGAAAACCCTGTTGATGCGGTCTCTAGCCAGATTATAAAATCCAATAATAGTCGTTTATGAATTCACCTTGTTAATGAGGTCCCTGAAACCATATCTACATCCTAAAGGAAACACAGGTGGCAAAAAATTGAATGTCAGCGTAACTGAATACATGTGTAATATAAATAATGATGTTCTTTAAAAACTGAAATTTTGTATAAAACGACACCGTGTCGTCCACTTCTAAAATAGCAAAAGTCCAGGGCCCAGTTGTTCGAAACGTAGATAACGCTATCCACTGGATAAATCTCCATCTGGTGGATAATAATTTATCCGTTGAATGGCGCAATCCATCGTATGAACCAAAATTCAGCAGTCTGGTGGTCTGTGATTAGTCATTGATCATTGCTTTCGATCAATGAGTAATCGATGAATAATTGATAGGACACAAAATTGTCGGTCATTAATGACATAAATTAATCATCGATATAATCTTCTGGCTTCGAACACCGTACCAAAGTAGAAAATAGTTCTGCAAGGCGCATGTCAATGCTCAAACTTTATAACTTACATGCATAGCGCACGGTACACATTTTCGCGAGTAATCAAATTCACCCATTTCATTAAATAACCGCGAGATAGAAAGCATTTCTCCGGCGTGGTGCTAACTTCACTTATTAAAAATTTGCACGTATATTTTTCCCCGGCGTAGTCAATCGAACAAAACCGAACCAAAAATCACTCGAAAACCCAGTCGGTTGGATTGTTGTACGACTGGTTCGGTAATCGAAGATAATCGAACTGGAACTTTTCGGTGAGTTCGATTAATCGAACTCGTGAGTTCGATTACCGAACTCAATCGAACCAATCGTACTCAATCGCCGCGATTAATTCGATTTTGTTTGACAGAAAGACAAAACGCATGCAGTTTCAATTGAATCGGAAAGATCTCCCTCTAGTATGTATTTGAAGCTGTTTGAAAACAAAAATATTTAAATTAACCCGGAATTAACTAAAATCTTTATTGTTTAACACTTTCACTGCCAGAGTGCGTGATGGAGTTTTGTAAGGTGACTCTAACTTTTGAGTCTGCGGACGAAATCCTCTGATGTGACTATTCAAATGAAAACTCTTCAGCATTACTTTCACGCGGTACTATTTGTTTTTCAAAATTTTACAAAATGAAATTTGGAAATCTTGTCGAAATTTGCTTTTGGCTACATTTGGCAGTGAAAGGGTTTAGAGATTCAAAATCGATACTGGGAAACATGCAAGCACAGGCACCAGTTCTCGTTGCAAATGTCCAAGTTGGCCGCGGCCATCGTCAGTTAACTTCAGAGCTGGATCTCCCTTTTTCTTCTCAGAATGAACAAACTTGTCACCGACACTGGCGGCGAAAGCGGGCACTCGTGGTAGCCTTTAACCATCGTTTCCTGAATTTTTCACGTTTTCCGTCCTCTGTGACATCTTTGCGTACTCGTGTTTGAAATTGAACCCAATGCATAACTTATTTGAACGCAACGCCTTTTGTTTGAAACCAGATGAAACTGGTTTTATGTTTGATTGTTGCATGCAGTGCTCGATTACCAAGTATGTTCGATTGTGTTCGATTGGCAAAATTTTGGGGTGAGTTTGATTAAATTCGATTACCGAACCCAATCCAAGGCGACGTTCCATTGACTACGCCGGGGTTTTTTGACTCTCAATAACAGACAGGAGAGTAATCTAGACTACTTAACCATCTGAAAATTTTGTTTTCGTTATTTTTACCTTCCATGAAATCAATTTTTGATTTTTGACGTTTAAGATAATGAAAACGAAACTCTTAGTTCCGTGCTCATTGTTCATTGCTTCCGAGGGCTGTGGTAATGTTAAACAAACCTTATCCATCCTGTTTTGATAACTTTCAACTATCATGTATACGTGACGTAATTGTGGCTACTTTCGATGGTTCTTATTGTGTTTGGAAACCGCACAGAATGTATGCTACTTTTCCTCTTTACCGTGATTTTTAAACACCTGAACTGTTACATAAACATCCGAAGGTAATACGCTGGCCACGTTTGCATATAAAAAGAGCAAATGTACGTAAATGAGCGAATAATGGACCAAATTTTATTACTTCCTATTTCAGAACGAGGCCATTAAAAAACTGCCTTCGGGTGATATAAATTTCCGCATACATATCAAAATATGACCCGCGAGCGATTCGTAAAAACTTTGAATACATTTACAGTTGACTCTCTCTTAACTGTCACCTCTATAAGACGGAAACCTCGTTGAACGAACATCTCGAGTTGGTCCCTTTCTTTCTTTGCTCCCTTTATTTGACTCTTTGTAAGACGGACACTCTTAGACGATCACTTAGTGCTCATCTTAAAGGTGTCGGTCGTAGAGATGGTTGACTATATTTTTATTCAGAACTTGACTATAAACCATTTTTAATACACTGAAGCAATTGCATGCATTCTTACACAGTATAACCACTGGTGAATAGGTTATAATGATAAAAATTACATCCAAGTTAACAATTCATTTTTTAATGCCGAGAAAAGACTACATAAATAACAATACACACACAAAAACGTGACCAACTATTTATTTATAAATTTAGACCACTTCTCAGATCCTTAGGACATATTGATCAACTTTGCACTTTAATTTGCAACTACAGCCATCGAATACCACAACTCTCGAGGTTTGCTTTCATCCGTGCTTCACCCCATGAACTTGCTGACTCTTGAGGTTGTTTTGATGTAGTGAACAATGTTTGTAAGCGGCGAAGCACTTTTGTGAAGTGAATGAACTAAAATGTTTTATTTGTATTTTATTGTGATCTCTGGAAAAGAAAGCAACTCTATAATTCCTAGAAAAGAAAGGGAGACGAGACCACTTTAACCCCGGCGGAGATTGAACTGTCGACCTCTGGAAAAGATCTACTAGCAATTTAGCCGATTGAGATGGGTATTAATGCTGACGTCGGGCGAGGCTAGGTTAAGCAACTTGAAGAATTAATAAATGATTAACAGCTAAGTCTGCTTTTATGCGGATGCAGCGTAAAAATTGGTGACCCCTAGCCCAGTGGAGACTCTTTTCTAGCTTGGAGAGTAGAGAAACATGCTTGCAGCTTAATTTTATGGAGGATAGCGTGTATACTGTCATGCCTTATGACGTGTACAGGCCATGAACTTTAAACGTGCTTCACTGAAAGACTCTTTTCGCCGAATCAGCCACTTTCAGTCTTAAAGTGCATGAATTGTTAAATCCTTTGTTGCTATCTTTATCGACTTTTACAGATTTGCGAGCAATATTCTGGTTAAGTCCTTAAAATAACACTCCGCTATAAAAAGAGACTTTCAATAGGGTTTATCCCTGGTCAATAAACAGTTCGGTTAAAAATTCCCTTTAGTCAGCAAACAGCAAAAAACTAGTGGACTTATTCAGTTAATTACCAGAATGTAGTATGATTTGTTACGCTTTTAAGCCAGCTCAACGTTAAAGACGATCTTAAAATTAAAGTTTCAACCAAGTATAGTGCGGGCTAACAGATTTGTCATAATATCATGTGTCAGTCACGAAGGACACGGAAAAAATAACAAACACAAACAACGGGTTTTAAAAATAAGGTAGGTTACATAAGATAATAGACTATTGCACAGAAAAAACAAGCTAATCCTCCCAGAAAATGTTCAAAAGTTGGTTTCACACGATTCCTTATTTTTTTATTCGGTTATAACAGAAAAAAGATCTTCGTTAAAAGCTTAACAGCTACCTCATTGACACCCTCAAACAACATAATTTGGCGGGAACGTTAGGTTTTGTCAGCGTACGATCAGCGTACACCAGTTGGGTACTTAAATAAACCAATCACAGAGCGAAACGTTTTATGTGAGTGAGATTAAATAAAAAACAAATCTCCCACTTCCTCGTTGCTTATTCTTAATCACAGTACTTCCGAGAGCTGACGTCATATTTGAGAGAACGTTTGGTCAATTTTAAGAGGTTCTTCTTTAAGATTTTGTAGTGAGCTCTCTAACACGTAAATGCCTTTCTCTTCTTTAAAAGATTAACTATTGTATTTACAAGAGTGATTTTAGAGTATAAATCCCTAGTATTGTAACATTGTCTTCTGCGGTCTTCTAGATCATGATTAGGTACGTCACCCAGTAATTTAAAAATTTGTAAGAAACATGTCCCGTTTCATAACGTAAAGTATATCTTCTTTCCGCTTTGACTTGTATCTTCGAGCGTTATTCATTTCACAAAATCTAAGATCTTGAAGCTGTCAAAGTTGCGAATTGAATATGAATTTCTCTTTGGATCGAAGAGTGTGATTTCATTATCCGACAAGGACGACATCAGAAAAACTGGTGGCCAAGATTGTGAAATTGATCTAAGCGGCTTCATCGTCACTGGACTGAAATACTAACGGAGTCTTTGCGTATCGTGGTGATTGGCTATAATGTCAGAAGTGTTGTTAGCAAAAAAGGAGGGAACACGCTGACAAAAAGTGGTAAAGCAACCTGCATGGATAAAGAAAACTGAGGTAATAGCATTACTTGGCCTACAGTTCTACTCATTCTATTTCATGAGTTTATTTTCCTTGTTCAGGTAATTGTTATGGCATATCTTTTTCCCATCAAATTTTTTGCTGTCCGAAACTATCCGTCCCCGCTATAAGCCGTTTATTTTTGCGAAATTAGTCTCTGAATTCTAAATCATCAACCTTTGGCGACGAAGTGTTTCAGTCCGCTCAGATGAATTTTCACTTGAATTTTGTTCTCCGCTCCCGTTTGCCCCAAACTGTTTAATTTGTTCTTTTAGACTACCACATATTCACGTGAGCCCTCGACGACTCTCGTGGGTTCTCGAAGTGTCTCGGGCGCTTTCGAATTCTCTCGTGGGCTTTCGGTTACTTTGGTGCATTCAGCTATGAACTCTGACAATGCTGAATCTTTCGGCTTTTTAGAAAGCTCGAACTCTTGTCAACTCTCCTCAATTCTCAAGAGAGGATATCCTCTCTTGAGTCAAGCATAATATTTCTTGTGTCTGCACGCATTTATTAAGCCTGAAACAACCTCTACCGATGCAAGAACCTTCTGTTAATTTTATTATTAAACGATAAAGTGGCAAATTAACCCTTTGAATGAAAATTGTATTCATACATATTAGTGTGAATTAAATAGAAAGCTTTATATTTTCCTCTTCAATATAAAAAGTATGTGTTTACTCATTTACCCATTACGGCAAGAAATTATGAATGTTGCTGTAGAAAACCGTCCTTGCTAGGCACATTGCAGAAAATGCTAAAGCTGAAAGGCATTTTATTCCCGGTTACCGCTTTAATTTACATTTAATTCCTTTCCGCTTCGGTAACAAGAAAATTGTGTTTTATTTTGGCTGTATTGACTTAAAAGGATATTAATCATGGAAATCATTACATAGTTTTTGTTTTCGTCTTCAGCGGAATAAAAAAAGGTGCTTGGAAGTGTAAAGTGATAGAAAAAATAGCGGATTGTACTGTCCTCCAATTTTTTAGGCATAAATTTCTCTATAAATGCAAGTTGTAGGTCTTTTTCTTTTTCTTCAATTCGGAAGGAATATCAAATAAACTGACGTTGATTGATGCCAGAGAAGTGAGAAATAAACTCGTAAAAGCTCCTCAAGTAAATTATTTACGATTTGGTTACTTTGAACTATACCCACTTTGCTGGATGTTGGAATTTAGAAAGCGCTGGAAATCATTCTTCTATATTTAATGTTTGCCGTACATTGCTTAGAAATTGTAGCAAATCAACCCAACATGGTTCTAGTTATTCTCTTTGCAGTTCTGCTTGCAAAAGTGTCGTCATAATAGGAGAAATTAATCATTGATTCATTGCTTTGTATTTAAAATCGTAAAATGCCACATAATGCGATTAATTAATGTAGTCTCCGAAAGTTCTCGATGGAGGGAGTTGTTCAGCACGAAGGAAGATAAAATATAAATGATAAAATATTCCGCTTGGATTGAAGGAAGACGTGGGCGTTTTGGCATTGTTAAAATATTTGCGGATCGACGAAGCCTCAAAGCCCTGAGTCATTGAAAAAAGAAACTTCGATTCCTTGCTGCAGGTTTGCCATATTGTCAAATTACATGTTTCCTGTCATATGTTTCTGCAAAAGTTCGTCCTCTCTACATTTGATCATGAGTTAGGCATGCTTTCAGTCAAAAAGTAATATTTTCTCCTTTTTGGCAAAAACGAAGAGCTGTTTAAAAAGTGAATCCTATATTTTACTGTTTTTCATTAGAAATTTTATTGCCTTGTGTTGTTTGGCACACTATTTTACCCACTCATCTCATTTTGTAGAGTCAGTTGAATTTTAAAGACTTTTCTATCACTTGTTTATAATTACGTACCTCGAAAAGGAGTTGTTCCATTTTCTCTGGAACTATCATTTACTCCAACTTACTGATGTCAGATAATTCCCGGGCTTAATTTGAGTAAAAACTCCTGAGTATCGTAATATATAGCTATGAGCGGAAACTTGAGAAGATTTTAAATGGTTTTGTTGTTTGCCTTCCCCAATATCCAAATGTTTTTTGACGTGTTTAGAATGTTATTAACTTAATGCGATGACTTGTTTTTGATAGAGTTGTTACAAGTGCACCTCTTATAATTTGTTAAAAGTGAGCGAAGCGAGATTGCGCAGCGACCGAGCGAGCGACGAACCAACCAGGAAAAAAAAAGGACTTTGAGAAAGTGAGGGCGGTTATTTTAGATAGGATGATGATAATAGTAAAATAATAATAATAATAATAATAATAATAATAATAATGATAATAATAATAATAATAATAATAATAATAATAATAATAATAATAATTTAAAAATATTTTATAAAAACTACACACAAAACTTCTGTAAAATATTCATAAAAATAAAACTTCCACATCAATATTATATAAATACAAATTTCCGGCAAAACCCCTTCACAATTCAGAATTCTAAGATACTAATTAAAAACTAAATATATGTCCACGATAGAAAACTATTTACAATTGTGAATAATTTAAGAGTGGGAAAAGGAAAATCAAGAATTACTCAGAAAAAAACTATCAACAATAGTAATAGTAATAATTGTTATCACTATAAATCATAATTATAGTAATGATCATAGTTACAATAAAAACAATAATTGCAATTTAATTAGCTTCCATACCGCAACAATCGACAAGCCTAATAAAAGTTCATGCGACAGACTTTAGCCAAGTCCGATGACGTTGATATTCATTCCAGGCTCGAATGTGCGAGAAAAGTATTTTTTGTTTGTTTTTGGCATCGCAATCCTTTGCTCTCCAGCAAGCACATATTTATGTAAGTGTATGGTTTGATTTGATGACCTCAGATAAAGGAAACGACATACTTCTGGAATACCACCCATTGAGAGTAACGTTCTAGATGTCAAGAGTCCTTATACAGTAACCTCAACGCCTCATGAATTGCCGGATGGAAATGTTTTGAATGAAGTTCCAAACAAAGAGATCACGAACGACTTTATTGAGATTTTTTTGAGATTGTGTCATAGCACTGCAAGGATGCGTCTCTAAAAATACGCGCCTTTTTTCGCTCAGGTCATCTGGTGTGTTGCTCACGTTTGATTTGCACTCTAAAAATAGTTTTTATCATTGTTAAAGGAAGCTTGAGAGGATTGAACTAGGTTTTCCTTGGATTTAGTAGTTCGCTGCCCAAGTAAACGAAGACACAGGAGCAGGAAAAATTTCAGTGAGTTCTCAGTGTGAAAACTCTTCATGTTTTCACACTGTTTTCACAGACTCTGTACTGCCTTTTGGTAATTTAGTCATGTAAAAAAGGAAGAGTGGCTAATCAGGGTGTCCTTAAGTTTAGTTAAGTCGACAAAGCCGTTGTGAATTTTTGGATAAGAGTTCGTATATTCAGTTGTCCAAGAATTGTGGATATTACACATTACGCCTGCCTATATGGTAAAATGCGCTTTGTGTGGTTTTTGCACTCAGTGATACGGGAAATAAATCGTCATATCATATTCCATTCAAGAACGTATTCTCCTCTAACAAATCATGCGTACATTCTTTAGACACCAGCTCTTATTGACCTCATTCACTGTTAAATACGCTGACTAAACCAGAGTCTGCCAGCAATGTGTTTTTGCACTTAAAGTTCTACGAAGAATTAACAATTATTGGACGAGGTTGAGCAAAATATCGTGATTTGTCAGTGGCGAGCAGATCAACTATTTGCCGAAGGCTGAGGTAAATAATTGATCTGCGAGAGCGATCGCAACTAGGAGAAAAACGTGGTTTCATTTACACGTGAGCATAATATTATTTGCAGTCAAACAAAGTTGGATGACAGTGTACATGAGCGGACCATTATTTGTAGGCACTTATTTGCAGGTCACGTGGTGAGCTCTAGGCCAATGAAAAGGAAGAAAAATTTGCAACGAGTGATAATTTCGTTTGCTTTCGACAAAGTAAGGTTAATTCTTTCAGGACGTTTTCGTTAAATCTATGTCTTCCAATTTTTACGTCTCACTAAAACTTCCGCCATTTTACAACTATTACTTCTGTGAACCGAACGTTTCGAAAATATTGTGCTGACACTATTTATCAGGAAAGGTTTTTTTGCCATTTCCGTTCTCAGATGAAGTAGCCTTTATTTGAGTTTATTGTTTTGATCATGCAGTGATTTTTATCATTTGCCTCCGACATTATGATGTAAATCGTCAATTATATTTGAAACTATTATCAAAAGAATCTGTCGAAATTTGTTTGGGTCCCCAAAAACAACAACTGACACTTTTACATTTTCTATTACAAAAAATCGCCGAGACTGATTTCAGTCGAAACGTTCTTAATGTAGTTCTCATCGAGCCTTTGTAACCGGACTTCGCGAGGATAATTTTTTACACCGCAAAATAGCTAAAGGTTACGCCGTTTACAAAAGAATAAAAACGTCTTCATGTGCGGCTTTATTAATTTGATTGACTTTGCAAAATTATATGTGGTTAATTTTCATAACATTTTCTTGGTCGTTACAAGTATTAGTGAAGCTTCCGTTCACCTGCCTTTTCATCTGAGTCGTTTGGCTGCAAGATCACGTGAGCAATCATTTAGCTGCACTTTAAAGTCGAATGGTCACGTAGCCGTAGATCACGTGATGAAAAGTAGCGGTCACGACTTTTGAAGACGTGGTCAACGACCCGAAGCAATCGTCTGAAATTGGATTTAAGTCCGTAGATTTTTGGTCGAAAAAAGTTGTTGATTGCTGTTTTTGCTTACGGTAATAGAACCAGATGCGATGATCGTGCATACAATGAAAATTGCTTTTTCAAATGATTTTATGATGTTCCTTGCCTTAAAGTAGCAATTATCAGCTCTTGCAAATTGCAGAAATGATAAATTAAAAGATAGGGGTATCGTTGTAGCACATAGAAAATTGTTCTTATTACAAACCCTTAGTTGTAACGTTGATTTAATCTTTGGTAAGACAAGTTCTGTTCGAAATTTCAATGCCTAACAAATTTTTAAAACTTTTAACCGACGTTTCGTTTTACTGAAATACTGGAAAATTTTACTAGCGGCAATCCTCAAAGAATCAATTTACTCTCTAAAAGATGGAATAGCGTAATGAATATTATTACATTTCAATTTGCATTTGATAGACCAGATAGCAAGCGAGAGATTCACTTTTTGTTTGAAAATGATGAAGAAAGGACCATTTAAGGTTATTTAAATTTTTTCAGGTAGTCATTCTTTTGCTTTTTTTTTCTGCTGAAGTCGCACCTCGAGTTATGTTCTCCGGGCTTTTATAGTCTGCAAAGTTTGAGCCTATGTATGAAATCCTAACGTTGAAATCTTCAGATGAAAGCTACTGACTACTTCTCTGTGGTACTGTTTATTATATTCTGCAAGGTGCTTCAAACTTTTGAGTTTGTCGATGAAATCCTAAAGTGTGACCATTCAAATGAAAGCTATTGAGCAGTACTTTACTATGGTACAGTCCATTAGCCTGTACTGCTTCAAACTTTTGAGTTTGTCGATGAAATCCTAAAGTGTGACCATTCAAACGAAAACAATACTTTTGTGTGGTATTGTTTATTATACTGAATAAGGTGGCTTGAACTTTTGATAAGTGGGACAATGTGTGACATTCAATTGAAATTTCTTTTTGGTGTACCGTTTGTTATGCATTGCGAGGTGGTTCTGACATCTGACTCTGCAGCTAAAATGCCCGGCGTTATACGCTAGTCAGATGAAAGGTTCTACTTTCTACTCACATTGTTATATCCCTTTTCAGATCTATGATGCAGTCATATGTAATCGTTGTCTCAGTCGTTGCTGGCGTATCGGTGTTCGCTGTTCTTGTGTATTTGGTTTTGAAGATCTACAGGAAAAGGGAGGAAGGTGGAACGGACGCGGAAACAAAAGGACTTTGTCCTCCCAGTATAATCGTCACATCGTCTAGTCCAAGCCAGTCCAAGAAGAAACTTTTCTCGCCAGCTCAAAGAAGAGCTACATCTAAAGAAAACGAGGAAAAGGTGGCTAAAAGAAAGAAGAAAGAAAGAAGTGTGTGGCATCCGCCAAAGAAGACGAAAGGCGTGCCCATAATAACAGCTACGTTGGTTCAACCCACGGTGGTAGAAAGAAGCAAGGTACGAATGTCAATGTCAGGATTTAGCAAGAGAGTACTAATTGGGGACATTATTTTTACGTCTCCGAATGGAGACGGGACAGCCATTTTGCGTGTTCATCCGAACCACGGGAAGGTGTAGCCGCTTGCAGTGCAAAGCGAGTACCTTCGTTTCTCATAGTTATGTTAAGACCCTGAGTATTGGTCGGGTCCCGGCGGGGATCGAACCCTCGACCTCCCGCTCTGCAGTCAAGCGCTCTACCAACTGAGCTAATCCTGTCTCGGACCTTAGGGTTTATCCTAGAAGCGCTTTCGTAAGGTTTGAATAAGGGCGGATAAAGGTTGGGCGATGAAACGAGCGCCTCCTAGCAAAAAAGAGCGATGCAGTGCTCTGGGACTCTGCTTGGAAATGTCGCCTGTTTTCGACTTCGGTCAGGGCTTGCGTAGTCTGCGTAACAGGCGCTTGAAAGTATTAAATGGGCGTAAGAAAGAAGTGACGCGCAAGGCGCGCGAGGGAGATACGCGAGGGGAGGGAGAGCTACCTCTCTCCTCGCGTGTCTCCCTCGCACGCGCCCTTTCCATCTTGTGGAATCGTAAATCTACAGAGAAAGTCATGCTGCACGTACGCGAGTGCAGAGTTGTTGTTTTGCTTATCAGTCTTTCTCTTGTGTTTAATTTGCTTCAGGAACAAGGCGGAAGAGGACGACTCACCTTCACACTTCATTATCATTATCGATATGCTTCAAGGAGGTAAGTGCATGTTCTTTTCATGCCATGTAATGTCGGTGCAAATGTCCTTACGGGGCTCTGTCGCGGGAATTCTTGTTATAAGGGTGTTGTAATTTTGATAAGTACCTTTCCTTTTCTCATACTGACTTCTCCAACACGAAGGCAGAGTTCTATTGAAGTCTTGGAAGAAAAATACAGGATATGATTTTTTTTGGCAATTTTTCATGAAAAAACTTGATAATTTACTTTACCTTTTTTTTAAAGTTGCAATCCTTTTCCTCCTTTCCAACCGAAAATTATTTTTTGATTTGTTAGCTGCTGAACTAATGGCACTTTTTTCTAATCAAATAGTAAATAGGATGCCTCAGCTGAATCTTGAGTGGCGATAAAATAGGAGAGTTGGCTGCGGGGTTGAAAAGCTGTTGCTTCCTTTGGCCAAAAAACAAACAAACAAACAAAAAACAGCAACAACGCCCCACGTGTGAAACCCGACATCCTCGCTCCAACCCCAGTCCTCGTTTATCAGTGGCTCTGACAACTTCGTAACTTGGTTTTTCTCAGGCAACAAGCAAACTCAGTTTTTAGTTCATATACTTTTAAAGAACTCCAACCAAACCTGGAGCATTTTCTGTTTAAATGTTGTAGGTACATCTTTAGTTTCCTTTTTTTTTTACTCAACGGGCGGTAGACTGCGAGCCGTCTATCTGTTTCTTCAGATTTAGTGAGGGAAGTGCACGCGCGCGTGAGTGTTGAACGGTGAAGCCGCGAGACATGAGAATCGAGGGCGGCAGCCCGAGAAGAAAAATTTCGTGCCTCTTCTGTCTCGCGCCTTCAGTCATGCGCGTTTTCATTTGCGTGTCTCGGGCGTTTTGCTCGACGGACCAAGAAAAAAGAGGAGACTGCTCGTAGTCTAAACGGGCGGGTGCCCTGTTTACTGAAGAAAAGTCACCTCGCCTCATCAGACAAACGGTGCGGAAAATGCAGAGTATTTTCCCCTTTTGTATTGCAATAATTTCTTCTCAAAACTGGTCCGCTTGATCGCCCTTAAATCTTTTTTAATTTTTTTTTTTTGTTAGATCTGTGCTTCTGGTAAAGCTTGACAGCGCGCAGGATCTTCCTGCCAAAGATGATGACCTGCTACCAGATGTTTTCGTTAAAACTCAGCTTATTCCCAGCCGCAAACGAGTTTACATCTCCAAAGTGCACAGAGAAACTGCCAACCCTGTCTTCAACGAAGCTTATGAATTTGACATTGAGTACCCAGAACTTCAACAACAGCGGCTTTTATTTCAAATTCTTGACTATGATTGTATGTCTCGTTACAAACCTATTGGGGAAGTCAGCGTGCGTTTGGCCGAGTTAGGAACGCATGGATTTAATATTTTAAGAGAGATTTCTCTCTGTGTTTATATTTCTAGACCTCAGAAAGAATCGTCTCTTTGAGGTCCGTTAAGTCAGGTTTTTCGACGTAAATTATGTGTATATAGCTTTTTTTGAAATATTCTCATTGTAAATATAGGGTAATAATTATAGTACTAGATTTTCCGCTGAATGTAACACCTGATAGTCTAAATACTTCAGGGGCACCCATCGAGACTATAGTTTAAAACCACTTAAACATAGCATTGTTGAACGTATTTTAGTATTTAAACGGTAGAAATAGGCATATTTTTATCCCCTAAAATTTTTTCATCTGTTCGTATTTCCTAGCTGAAAGTCTAGTGATCCGAAAATTATATGGATCAAACCTTACTTTTTCGAAAATTTCAGCCAGAAAAAAGGCTTCTGAAAATTCTAGGTGACCTTTTTAGGGTAAAAATCCGTTAAAAATGGGCAATTATACCATTTTTTAGATGTTCGAAAATCCTAGGAGAGGCAGGCAAGCAAGAAATTTTACAACAAATGTTCCGAAAATTCTAGATCTCAAATCGTTTTCCGAACAGATATTTTCCGAAAATTGATGTTGGGTGCCCCTGACACTTGCCTATTAGGACACCGGCACAAGAATCGCAAGAAAAAAATTATTTTATTCTCTTATGTTGTCGCCTGAGAAAACAGCCGGATTTCGCGACACCTCCTTTGGTTTCCCACGAAATGACTTCTGATGAACGACTGCAGAAATTCCATACTGATGACTTGCGTGTTACTATCCAGGGGCCCGTTTCTCCAAAGGCCCGGTAACTTTTCGGGTCCGAAGGCAAATTTTGAAATCGTAACCTGTTGAAAAAGTATTTTGAATATAATTTTTCTTCGATAACTGATAATTTCATTGTATTATTTCCAAAATTTTTCAGACTGTAATGTTGAATGCAAACACGGCAGACATAAAACAGCTTTTCGGGCCCGAAAGTTATATTCAGTGGTATTTTCTTATTGGTTAAAAAATTGCTTGAACCAATCAGAAGACCTACCTTGATCTGGGTTGTCACACGTCATCAGTATGGAATTTCTACACTCGTTTCTCAGACGTCATTTCCCGCGGGAAACCAATGGTGGCGTCCCGAAATGTCGGCTGTTTTGCCAGACTACTCATGTTGCTTTCACTACCAATATAACAACAGGCACGAGACTGAACAAAGGAATTGGTCTTCTTGTGTCTATGATTTTTACTGAAAGCAACAAAAGGACTATTTCAGTATGATTACGGTTTATTTTTTGTATTTATTTTAAAAGGATACTATCAGGAGATATGATCAAACCCAAAGTGTGTTTGCAACAATGAAACATGAGAGAAATGTTCCTTGCTTTCTTGAGAAGTACTTTATAATGGCAATAAAACTATTTACGGTTGTCTTCGCTACGAACGATGAAGAAGACTGTACCTTGAAATACAGTCTAACCTCTCCTCACGGACACCTCCATAATACAGACACCTCTCTATTACAGTTTCTGGTCCCAGAAATGCCAAAAATCCTACATTCCCTACCACTATAATACGGACACCTCTGTAAAGCGGACACCTGGTTCTGTCCCTTTGGTATCCGTATTAAAGGGGTTTGATTTTAGTTAGGTTAACTTTTTTTAGGTTGTCAGGCCACTGTGATATAGCTCGGTAACTTGTTTTCATATGAAGTTATGAAGTCCTTGATCGGTATGACTAACAATAGTTTCCTTTCTTGTCTACCATGCATTACCGTGAAATAAATAGTAATAGTTAATCTCTTGTCTGAAGAAAAAGATGCGAATTCATTGAAAGTGGTCACAATGTCGCAGTAATTTTAAAGCGCCTTTCTAATTTGCAGTCACTCCTGGCCATCAAAGCCTAAAGGTGATGTTACACGGGACGTGTCGCAACGACGATGTTTTGCGCAACACAGCATTGCAATGTTGGAACAATGTTGCAACGCTGTGTTGCGCTAAAAATCGTTGTTGAGAATCGTCCCGTGTAACATCACTTATTAAAGGCCCTTCAGTGTTATTTTTTTCTTCTCTTGAAAGGCTTTTGAATCCCGCTTAAATGGAAGTAGATTTGTGGACATTTTCTTGCTAAAACCCCCTCGGACTGCTAATTCTTCAGATCATACTTAGCCCCATTCAATAATTGTAAAAATGATGTTACTTTGCATATACAAAAACAACTGCTGTGGCTGCATTTTGCAGTTCGTTTGTGCGCAATTAGAATTAAGACGGGAAGAGATATGGAAAATACCGCAAACCCTCTAGTACCCTCAGGGGAAGAAAGTTACTAAGTCCCCTCTCATTTAACCTACCCTTCAAAAAATGATAGCAAAAACTACAAAAATATTCTGTGATTACAAAATGCCTCGACAATAGACCTTATTCACGATGTCCGCCATCTTTGCCACCCATTGGGATTGATGGGATAAAAGCAATGTCACGTGGTATTTCGGGGACAGTGATAAAATTGGCCAATACGAGTAATCGCGGTCGAGTTTATTTATTCTCTCAAAATGAGAAGACATTTATTTTAGTCTTGCAAAATGTACAGTTCGAGTTTCTACAAGTTTTACATTATTACGGCTTGCTGTCAGAACATCTGCGGTGTCTCTACCACATCCAAAAAGGTAACAATGAGCACTTCCAACCAAAATTCTCCATTATCGTCTTTTTGATAAAAAAACTTCGTTTTCTTTTTTCAAGAGTAAACAATCTCGTCTGCGATTTCTTGTATTGATCACTACAGAAAATACCATAACATACCACAATGCTCTTTGCTTTTGTCACCCCAAAATTTTGCATAGGCATTGTCTTCAGTTTCTCTTGGGAGTTGACCAACAAAGAGCATTATGGTATGCTATGGTATTTTCTGTAGCGCTCAATTAGCAGATTTTATCACTTGCTTTCCTCCTTAGAAACCACGTGACATCGCTTTTATCTCATCAGTCCTTAATTGCGTGCAAAGATAGCGGGGATCATGAAGAAGGTCTATTATCATAACAGACTCTATTTCCACCGCTCTCTCAGCTCCGGTCTTGTTTCTCCCCGAGAAGATACCGCTAGAGCTGAACGTTTTAGTGCGTTAGTTTTTCATATATGGTAATTGTAATTTACCGAAATATATTCACCACTCTTGGGAAGTGAGGAAATATATCTCGGTACATTATAATTACCATATATATGAAATACCTACCCGTGAGTGGCCGATCATGTCATCATTTAGGCGGAGAGAAGGCTTATTTCCAGCTATTTGCCGAACAGCGCCTGGTAATCAAGCTTTTAAGACTGTTTCATTACAAATTTGCAGGAGACTGTCATGATAAAGTATGACAGCTATTTAATTACTGTCTACCATTGGTGACTGCAAAGTAGGGCATATGGCTGTGTACCATTGTTCTTAACGATAATGACTAACATTTGAAGGAAATAGCTCATTTTTGTTCAAATTATAGACGAACCGTTTTGTAATTGAGCTCGGCTTCATCAATAGGTCGCAATTTTCAATTCGTTTGTACGTTGAAAAGAATGAGTTAACGTCAGACTGTATGGCCGCCCCTGAGTGAAAAAGCAGGTGCTCCCAAAACGTATCGTCCGTTAGTTGAACACTGAATCTTCGGCATAACAAATGAAGCTCGTAGGCAACCGAGAAACAAAGGCCGGGGAGGTGTGTTTCTGTAAATCGTCATAAAGCTGATGGAGGAGGATTGCACCTCAAATTTTTAGGCTTGCATCGCACTTGAGTTGAACATTCGTTGAGTGCTTCAATGTATAGAAGACAAAGCGTAGAATAATTACTTGCCAATGATTTTTTATGGTTTTAAAATACAAATTAATGGAAATCATATGAAAAAACGAAAGAAATGCAAGCACAATATTGGTATTTAGTGAAGGATTTTAGTTTACTATTTGGCTGGAAATAGTTTTGCTAAGTTTATCCGTCTTTCGTCTCTTTCTAACTAAGCTGTATTCAAACGCACTATTTAACAGGGAAAAGGAACTTGTAAACCGAGGCAGCATTTTTTCTAGATGCATCTTACTGATTCCATTCTGTGTATCTCTAATATTCTCAAACGTGCTTTTCAACACGGAAACGGAACTAGTTAAAAAGAAGCATTTTTTTCTGCAGATGTGTGCCTCACTGTTTTTCCTTGACTTGTTACTGACCTAATAAATCCTAAGGAACTAACCTGATAAACAACAAAGTGTGTTTTTAACAGCTTGCCTAAGTTCTCTCATCTTCCAGAAATAAATCAATGGATTTAAAGAGGAATTTAAGAAAATTAGAGTCTTTGTAAATTCCCTAGCAAGAAAACCCGATAAAGGTATCCCTCTCTGCGGTGTTACAGCCTGCGCTATAATATAAGGAAAATAGCAAAAAGCTAATACCAGCTGTACCCACAGGGCATTGGAAACTGCTTTCCTGTATCGGGCTTTGTTCAGGAGTGTTGTTTGCTGGAGCTGTCCTTGAAAAGAGCGATCCTGTACCTGTATATGGTTATGACGCAGAGTGACAAAAATTTTTGTGTAAGAGATACCGGAGACGACGAGACACAGAGGTACACTTATCTTACCCCACAATACCAATATACGAATGTCCCAAAAATAAGATGAAGTACTAACGATGGACAAAATCCACAAAATGGCTACAGTCACGCGTGTTCTTTTCAAAGTTACAACTTGTCTGTACCTAAGCCCCAGCAACAGAGCTAGAAGTCTGTCCATACTTGTTGTGGTCAGAGTGAGTAAAGATACTGAACACATAACATAGCCAGTGATAAAACTTGACAGAAGGGCGTAATAGCAAATATCCCATCTTTCGTTCACAACAGACATCAAATAAGATACATACAAAGGCTCGACAATGATACCAACACAGAGATCAGTTATCGCCAGGTTTAGAAACAGTAGTTTGGACGGCGGATGGAGTGAACGCGTCTTGTGTAGCGCAACGAGGACCAGAGAGTTTTCAACAAAAGCAGTCATGGACAGAAAAATATTTGTCGCTGAAAGAAAGGTCACCTCGTTATGTACCTCTTCTGTTGAGCAATACAGTTCCGCTATGGTTTTCTCGTTTTTCTCTCCTGTAATGTTTGTAAATTCTGCCATCTCTTTTCAAAACAAATCAGTTAGAGTTTGCTAAAACACATATCACCAGTGTTATGACTGTCACGAGGGCCAGGATGCTAGCATTCCACATTTCAGTCAACTGTCAACTAGGTCCGTGAAAATTTCCTTTTCGCAAGCGATTTCTGTTTTCAATAAGCAACCTGTTTAAAGTAAATAAAACAAACAAGCAGCAAACAAAAGGAAAAAGGGACGAGTTTGTTCAGATGTCAGTTCAGACGGTCAAGCTGTCCATGTTCAAGGCAGTTAAATAAACTAGGAACGGTTCTGTTGGGAATTTGATATGAGCTTAATTAAATAGGTCCGAATAAGAATAAAACTGAAAAACTGAGAACTAATGGAATCAAAGAAAGACTATCGTCAACTCCTCAGGTAGATTAAGGCCTGGGTCTAAGTCATTTATGGTTTTTATGTACAGTTTCCAAAAACAATGGTTAAAGACATCCACGCGAGAGACGTTATATGGTAAAGTAAACGAAACTTAAAAAAACTTGAAAAAAGAAATTAAAATTATTTGGTCACGTGATCGACCACGCCCTCCATTGTTCAAAAATTGTAACCAACGATTCCCACCACTTGACAAACGAGTAGCTCCAGTTTTTCTGTATCAAAACATTGTCCCTACAAAGTGTCTACGAAATCAGCTCGGAATGGTTTGAAGCATTACAATTGGCCTGTGCAATTGGTGTTCACTGACTAGTGCCAGTCCTCCTCTAACTAAAATTGTCGACAGGAGAACGACGTTTATTGAGCTCTCCTCATTCCGATTGTTTTTACGAGAAGACTATCAGTAGCCACTGTTTGGACCTACTAAAGAAAAATGGTTTACTCTCTTTCTGGTGGGAATTTCGACTTAAAGAAGTTCTCGATAAAACAGGGCGTGGCTGGTCACGTGATTCAGTTATGAACAATTTTTAAAATGAAATTGATTTTTTGGTTATGATTGGCCTTAATCATGGCATGTCTTGAAAATACTGTACGTTATAAAATAACTGAGATAGTACGCGTGATCTGATTGGTCAAAAACCTATGGTTTATTATACCGGTAAACCCATAGAAAAAGGCATCCGAACCACGAGCCATAAACAAAACCGGATTGATCTGCAAACAACGATTTTAGAACGGCTAAAAAACAGAACAAGTTACTTACCCAGCCCTTCTTAATATTAAAAGCGTTGGTTTCCACATTTTATTACTGAGCCTCACAATTCGCTACTGCCATAGCTTTAGAACTTATAAAGTACAAAGCTGGAAAACAGTTTACATTTCACGACGATGCTAATCGCAGAGAAAGACAACAACTGTGTGAATTTCTGGTGTAGAGAGTCTCTAGGAAAACTTAACCATGTGCCAACCAGCAACAAAACGGATAGTTTTAGCATTCTTGATTTATTTTATGTCAAAATTAAATTCCTTAATGAAAGAAATTGTTCCAAAAAGAGATCTCTGATCAAGATATGGTACAAAATCGCCCGCTGTAGGTTCAGTAAACAAGCTGCCAACGATGATGAAAGATGTCAGAGTTTCGGGCTGGTTTTTTCCAACATTTGCACAAATTATTCGGTGATATCGATGCCATAACCTACCTCAAACCACCTGACTTCACGAATCGACAAATATTAACGCCAATATGTGGCTACGGCAAAGAAACCTTTGACCACTGACATATTTCCATCGGTCGCTGTACGTGCATATAAAGTTACAAGCGACAACTTCGCAAATGCAGCCACGTCGTTACCGCAGCATTTCTTGATCATTATAAAGTCCAGAAAACAGATCTTAAACCACTGAGGCTTGTAAAAAGTGAATGAAGTCCTCCATTACAATAGCTGTCAGTTCCGTCTGTAACAATGAAATTCTTACGGATCGACTCAACAAAATACAGCTGCGTACAGTCTGATGTCCAATTAATTTCTACTTCTGTAGTAAACAAACCATGAACTTATTCTTTCATTCAACGTTCGCATGAATTTGTGTTGACTTTTCCTGTCAAACAGCTTTCATAAGTTATCATGTAATGAGTGCAAAAACTCGTGTTTTGAAGTGCTGCTGTTTGTTGTTTGACTGAACTGAGTTTTCTGAGTTTTGAGAAAGGTCAACGCTATTAAATCGAGAGTTATGATTGGCTTATGATGACTTTAGAGAGAAGACGTGACTTGATCACGGTACTAAAACCATATTTTTTACCTAAAAGACTCCATTCTACTAGAAGTTATTTTATAAAAGCAATAGACCACACTTTCTATGGGTTTACCGGCGTGATAACCCACTTGGGATGTTGTGAGAACACGAGAAAAGCTTGTAAATCACTCGCCTTCGGCTCGTGATTTACAAGCTTTTCTCGTGTTCTCCCAACATCCCGCGTGGGTTATCACGCCGGTAAACCCATAGAAAGTGTGGTCTATTGCTTAATTATACCACCCCCCTTTAAAAATTCTGAAAAATGTGTAATGACCCAGGCCTTAATCTACTTGAGTCGTGGGAACGTTATTTAGAAAAAAATCAAATGGTTATCAATTCCGGTTTTCCCACAGTAAATTGTAGGAAATGATAGAAATTCAGATTGTTTATCTATATATTAAATATACTATCTTTTCCCTGGAAACACAATATTAAATAAGAGTTATGTATTTAGGTATATATTTAAAGAAAAACAACAACTGAAACAAATAAGCAAAAAAAAGACCAAACAAACCAAAACGGGAAAAGAAAAGAAGGAAAAAAAAAAGAAGGAAGAAAGAAAGGAATGAGTAGGACTGGAGCCCGGCACCTTCAACTCGTTGCAACTTTTCCTAACCACTACACGACTAAGGCTGATTACGTCACTTTGGCGAGAAGTTTTTTATTTAATGCCTTTTCCACGGAAAATCCACCGGCAAACGCCGTTAAAGATGAACGAGCCGCGTAAAACGGCGCTACTAACAGTTAAAAAAACAACAACAACAACAACAACAAAAACAGAACGCATTTCATGGCAACATGAATGAAAGAACATACGTTGTATGCTTTACAAAGCCGATACACCTCGTTTGCGAAGTACGATGCAAAACATATGTTTTCTTATCTCGATTTCCGCTGTTATTTTGAAGCTAATCAGTAATGGTCAAAATCACATCCATTTTTGGCTCATACAGGTTCTTTAGAATAGCATGACACGATATCTTCTTACTTTCAGACCTTTCAGATCACTTTCCAGCAAGCTGAAATTTGTATACAATGTATCCCGCCGTTATCTTGAGAAGTCGAAGAGAAAATGCCCATCTTCTCGTGAATCCAATCCCGAAGTTAACCATGGTACTCATCTGAAAGACTCCTCCTTGTCTTAAATTTGGTAAGACCTCTAACCGTGACGTAAAGAATTTGCCACAAACAAAACTATCATTTTTTAAGGGAAAAGCCCTGGGGACGAGGTTGCCATTCAACCAAAATTCAGACCGGTCCGACCGGGAAAAGAGGACCACCTCAAAAGGTGGACCAGTTTTTCGAAACTTTTCCGGTTGGACCGAACCGATCCATTGAGTTTTGGACCGAAATTTCCGGAAATTTTGGTTGAATGGATCGCGCCCTATGAGTCTGAGCAGCGAACAATGCACGTTCTCATAAGAATTTGATCACACCGAACTTCGGGGAGCGTGTGCTTCTTCGGAAACGATAGATTTTCGGACTCTCGAATTCAGATTAACCTCGACCCGATGTCCGTCTGCTACGAGTGAGCGAGTGACTAATTTGTATATCTTAGTCCCTGCAATAACTCGTGGTACGCTCGCGCGTACCCACGAGTTAAAAACGGATCGAATAGCAACAAGAATCACTTCGTGAATTTTACCGGGGCCACTTTTGTCTTGGCAACCCACGTGGAAGGGTCGTTTTCATCAACAAGTTTGTCGGGCGACATGAAAATCTTTTTTATTGCAAATATTCTTTAGAGATGAAAACAAGGTGTAATGAATAATGTGAAAAGAGAAAATGTTAGGGAATCCCCTATTTTGAACAGTTTAGAGTTTTCGCCTGTCGCTAACGTAAATATTGCGTGACAAAGGTTATGTGAAACAGTCTTTTTTGGTTTTTCATTAGTTAAAGCGTCTAGATCGCCTTGTACCACGTTTTTTAAGATGATATAAAGTTAGCTTTGATAAGTGTTCGCATTGATTCTCGATACATTTCATGATGGAAGGTTCACTCTTAAGCGATCGCTCGTAAATTTGTCTCTCCAAATATTCACTCTCAAGTTTTCGCTCATAAACTAGTATATCGTAAAGGTTGGGGAACGTGTCGTTCCCAAAAAGCTATAATCTTTCTCTTGACTCTCCTCCATACCTCGTGCTTTTCAAAATGGAGGATAAGTTTTCAATGAACCACCGATATATCTCAGCGAACAATCCCAAAAGTAACGAGCCAGCGCTATATCTTAGTCAGCGATATATCCCTAACAATGTAACTTTGAAAAGACAGAAACGCCTTGCATTTTATGACCGGTGCCAGCCTTCGGCTAGGCCCCGGTAATAACTTGTACAAATAAAAGATAGCTTGAGATAGCAATTAGCAGTCAGTCTTGCTGTTATGCCATTTGGCTGTATGGTTATAGCCTTTTGTTTGAATTTAATCCAACTTTACCGCCTCAAGGACGAACCATTAGATACTCAGCCTCATTCATTAATTGTTAAATATTCGCCGCTGCAACGACTTTCCGTTTCTTCACTTCTTGGCGTCTGAATGAAGGACAACTTTTATACAGTCCGAAATATCGCCGGAAACTCGAGTTCGCTTTTGTCTTTGCTGTTCCCTTATTACAGTTTAGCATCTGCGGGTCATCAATACTTTAAAAAAACCGAGCTCTGTGTTTCTATTTAAGTTGCTGTATTTAAGAGAGAATAAGCTCATCTCTGTTGGTAGAAGTCAATCTTAATTACTAAACGAAGAAATACATATTAAGTAAGCCTCAGTGGTTTTGACGGCTTTATCCAGGCGGCTTGACTGATTTT